TCTTGATGAGTAGATGCGTCTCAGGTGTGCTGGAAGGCTCCAGCTCCAGGAGACCCACGGTGCGCTCTGCTGGAGGAAGGTGGTACAGCTCCAGATCCCAACAGTGATAACAAAACTTACAAATTAAGATCTGCCAAGAGTCCAAACGAAGAAATGAGTGGTGAGGTGGATGGACATGTTTACACCTCCTGAGCTGAACCATAGAAAAAAACTGCAGATCGCTTAGCTTCTGATTAATACCGTTGGTCACCAGAGGACAGCATTTTACACTAACTTCACGCACAAGACAAACATTATGCAAATGAAAAAAGCAAACAAGTAGCCAGTTCTTTCTGTGCACTGATCCCTCTTTGAGCAGGACTACATCTCCTGGTTGTAGACTTGCGGAGATGATGGAGTCCAGTAATGTACTCTTTTCGCCATCGGCTCCAGAAGACATTGGCCAAGTGCTGCACACGTCTCCATTGTGCTCTGAAAAGGTCATGGCTTTCAAACCTACCAGGTGGTATTGGTGGAATGCCTTTTGGTTGAGCAACATGGCAGGTGTAAGGATTACTGGGTTTTTCGGATCTATAGAAACTGTTTTTAGTGGCTGTGCATTTACTATTGCGGTCACTTCAGCCATGAATGTCACTAACTCATGTAAGTTTTGCATTTTTGTGTTCCAGAAGCATTGCATCAATAATATGGCGTGTGACCCTATTATTCTGTCCCAGGAGCCTGCCATATGGGATGCATGTGGGGGGGTTAAACAGCCAGTGACAGTGATTGTCTTTTAAGAAGGAGTCAATTTTAGGGTTGTGACATCCGCTCTTGTCTATTTGTAGCTCTCTGCAAGCACTTACAAAGTTGGTGCCACAATCAGACCTGAGTTGTTTGGCAGCACCACTTATTGCGAAGAAGCAACTAAAGCATTAATGAATGATGAAGTGTCCATTGATTCAATTACTTCGATATGTAATGGCACAAGTATGGCACAAGTACTCATACATGTAAAGATGACTACCCATCTTTTTGCATCTGCCCGACCTCCATGTGTTTTCCTGACTGTAACCAAGGACCAAATACATCAAGGCCTATGTGTGTGAAGGGAGGGTCGGTGGATAGTATATCATGAGGAAGCTCCTCCATGATTTGTTTGCTGTTTTTTTTCTCAATTTACGCCATGTGACACAGTTAAATATTAAACTGCTAACGGCTCGTTTTCCCCCAAAACAACCCAAAAGCCTGAAGCTCTAACTGTTCCTTCAGTAAAATATCTGCCCTGGTGGCTGGCAGTCTCATTACATTTTCTGATTATGAGCTGAGCAAGGTGGTGTTAACTGTGCTCTTTTTAGCCTCCCACCCACTCTAAGTACCCCATCTGTGTCAATAAATGGGCTTAGTTTACTAAGTGGACTAGACTGTTTGATAGACTCGCCACATATGATGCGCTGTATGTCCTCTCAGTAGAGCTCTCTCTGAACAGTACAGATGATTGTGACCTTGGCTTGGTGAAGCTGCTTTTCATCCAAATGTTTATTGCATTTATGCCATCCATGACGTGCAGAATCTGGGCTGTGATGGAAGGATTTAGTAATGTGCTGAAGTCTAGCAATGGCTCTTGTTAGCAGGCTCCAGCTTTAGAACTTCTCAAAACGTGTGCTTCCAAGCACAGCATTTGACAGAGTAGTAACACATGTAGTTGTTACTGGCCATATTTCAGTGTCATCCTCTGGGTTAACAAGATCAAACTGCTGTTCATGTGGTGAGCTTTGACTGTAATCAGTTAGAAAGGCAGGCCCACAGAGCCAAGTGGAGAGGGAGAGCTGCTTAGCAGGTAATGCATGTGTAGCATGGTCAGCTGGGTTGAAATGAGTAAGCAACAGCACCAACAGTTTTTGTGGAGGCATCACAGAACACAATTAGCTCCTTTGTTTGTGCTGCAAAACAAGGGGATTGAAGTGTACATTCTGGGGATATCAAGTTGTTGCAAATGTTTTAGATAGTCTTTCCATTTTTGCCATTGTTCTTGTTTCTTCTTTGGTAGGTCAGTGTCCCAGTCACTGACATCAGATAAAATGTATTTTAGGATGGCTTTGCCTTCTATGACAGGCACTGCAAAGCCAAGGGGATTGTACACACTATTAATTACTGATAGCACTCCCCGTTTGGTGTAGGGCTTTTCCCTGATGGTACCCTGAAACTTGCCCTGATCAGTGGACAGGTCCCTTCCCAAGCCTAAATTGCACTGTATAGGGGCTGAGGTTTGTCCTAGCTCAAGTCTCTGAGCGCTACTTGCAAGACTTTCATTTGGGAAATATCAATATTGTGGTTTTTGAACCAGAAAAAACAAAGGCAGTCGCGTGATCTTCTCTGACAAGAAAATTGTGAAACATTTGCTCCACATCTGCCATAACTGCATAACGGTCGCACTGGAAATGCATGAGCACACCTACAAGACTGTTGTTCAGATCTGGCCCTTTTAGCAAAACATAATTGTCACATTGAGTGCTTGAATCAAACATATCTGATTTTCCAGGCTTTTGTGCGTGGTATATCCCAAAGCTAGGAAGATACCAGCAGTCTTGCCCGGGGGTTAGAGGAGGAGCAGGCTCTATGTGGACCTTTCTAAAGACTTTCTCCATGAACTCCACATAATGTTCTTTCATTTCAGTCTTCCTTTTAGTGTTTTACGCAGTCACATGAGACGACTGAGGGCTTGTTCCCTATTATTGGACAGGCGCTGTCGTGTGAACGAAATGGGAGTGGGGCTACCCAATTATTCCCCTTATCTTTTGCAAACTCATTATGCATAATATTTAGGAATGATGCATCCTCCATAGAAAGAGCAACTTTGTCATATTTTGTTGTTTGTTTAAAAAGCTGTTAACCTAGTTCTTCATGTGCATTGTCAAGGGAAGAGCCATTTTCCGTATATTTGTCTTTGCCACAGATTGTGTTCTTACAAGGAGTAAGATAGCTGGGCCGTCCATTGTTCAGAATATTTGTTTTGAAAGTGTACTTCACTTATAATGAGGGACAGAATAGTTCTCCTTTAAAGAATAGTCCTCCTTCAAACTTCAGCTCCACTAATCAGGTTAAAGAACACCAAAAAGTACTCTTTTTCAAAACTCCACAAAACATTTACCAAATAATTATTAGAAAAGCAGTAAGCAGGCATCCAGATTAGCTTTGTTGTATGGCAAAAAAGTGTCTTGTGGTTCTTCCTGGTCTGACCCCATTAATATGTCTTCTGCAATTACACTAAATCTTTTTGAAACAAGGCAAACTTTTTTTTAAATCTATTTTTAATACAAACTGTAGGTTTGTGTTCATATTTATCTTAGCAAAACAGAATACTGCCTTGATTACTTGGTTTCTGGAAAGTTTTTTTGCAATACATACTCAATGCATGAGATTAAGTGCATCACTCGAGCTTTTTTACATGATGTTAGGGTGACTTCCACCATGTCAAATGCACCTCATCTTGAGACTGTGTTTGACTTCTGTCCACTTTCAGTCAGCAAGTTCCAGTGACTGCCCCAGTTTAGTTCCACTTTCATGTGTCAGACTCTTTTTAAAATTCTCTTTTCTGATTAAATCAAAGATTATATTTAATTCTTTGATACATAACATAGAATGCAATTACATTTTATTTCTTATATTTCTTATACATTAGTGCTTTAAACTGCATAACCATAACTCCAAAGGCTTTTAAATCCAAAGCCTCTGGAAACAAAGACAATTATATTATCCATGCATTAATTTTGAACAAAGAATATACTGATGTTTTATTCATTTTATCACTAATCAAGGTGTTCCGTTCAAAAATGTAGGTTCATCAAAGAGAAACTGAGTCCACACAGAAGAGGGATTTTTTAATGGCTTCTACAGAAGGAGAGAGCCACGTTCAGCTACATCTACTCTCTTACTGACTTCTTCTGCAAAGCCTTTTTATTAGCAGATCATAACACATGGGGTGGGTTACAAAATAGAGTGTTCTTCTGACAAGGCAATTGATCAGGTCATAGGACAAAATGCTCCTCTGATTGAATCACAGAATAGAGTGGTCTCCTGATAACTGTGATTAGCCTCGCACAAACATCAGCAATTTTCTACCACCGTTGCATGACAGTTTGCAGTAAACAGAGTGAAGAATCTAATTTCTTCAAAGTTCCATATGCACATACATTAACTTTATAATCATCATTAATAAACCTGACACAAGGAATAATCTCACCCAAATTGTGGTAACTTTACAATAGCAGAACTGACATAACATCAAACAAAAATAATGGTAAAAAAAAAGGAATAACAGAAGTTGGAGCTCTTCATTTTAATCAACACTCTGTTTGCAGCTCTTAACATGCTGTGAAATGAGATCGGTATGATGTGCTTTTGTAATCTTTAAAAATTTCAACACAATGACCAACTGATTACTAATATTTTGACAAAACCTAAAACATTGCAATGATCTCATCTTGAATTCATCACAGTCCACTAAAACAAACTTAAATGACACTCTGGATTACTTTTTTCTTTGTATTTTGGCATTATTATTTAGAAATAAAAAAAAAGCTACACAGCACAGACTGATTCTAAGCTTACTTTGCAGGACAATGCGAATACAATTATTTAAGAAGGAGATACAGGAAATGAAGATTTCTCGATAGGTGGCACTTAATTTGATGCTGTTCGACTTGTTATAAAAAATCAGGGACTTGCTCTTCTCATCGCCCATTGCTCTTAATGTTTCCCTTGGCTGGTATGTCATAAAAAAGTCCTCTTTATATTTTAGATCGTGAAAGAAGTGCTCAATACAACTGACACTAGTCTATTGCGCTATACCATTCTCTATTATCATATTATTATTATAGTTATACTAAAGACACCGAATAAAAACAATTTAAAACAGAATTACAAATAGAAGAAAAAATTGAAATGGTAGGTAAAAAAGTTCTGAAACATGATCTGGTTTATGCTTGTTTCAGCCTATCTCCAATTACATTGTCTTAGACTCAACACAGAGACACAGAGGAGCCAGAACTGATCGAGAATCCAGGATAAAGAGGTTCAGTGAATGTGGTGTTGAAGGTGAAAAGGTGGATCAGTGAGTCAGATGAGACTCCGTAAAAGGATAGAATGCCAGCAGGACAGTCCACATACACTGCTACTCTGTTAGAGACTGAGAAGGTAGAGATATGAGATTTCTTCTTATTGTGCCAGACAGAGTAACCTTTATCATCAGAGCAGATCAGACTCCAGGAATGATCATTAAATCCAAACACACAGTCTATAATCTTTCCTTTCCTCCTGATTTTTCTGTAACTCATTGATATATAAACTTTTCCTCCCCACTCAACCTCCCAGTAACAGCGACCAGTTAGACCATCACTACACAGAAGCTGAGGCCAGTGATCAAATCTGTTTAAATTATCTGTATACGACTGACGCTCCCCGTCATATGTCACCTTCCTGTGTTCTTGAGACGGTTTCAGGTTTCTGTTCACTGTGTTTGTGTCGATTGTGAGCTGACAGGAATCTGATGGAGGAAACAAAGACAGTCCTGATGTAGTTATAGATCCTTTATTGACACTTTGATGACTGCTGAATGAATGATGGACAGTTTGAAGATGGTTGGATGTGAGCTGCTTTGTTGTCATGAAACCAATGAAAAACACACTTACACTTCCTCAGACCTGGTTTCAACCATCGGACTCCATCAGGCTCCCTGAAAGGAGGAGGAGGGTCAGACCATCAGTGTCTTTCAGCGGGTAAACATGGACATTGTAATAGATCAGATCAGATCCCACTCTGACATGCTGCTGGAAGAACTGGATCTGGGTCATTTGGACTCTGTGACCTGCTGCATACGTTGTCTGGTCCATTGTGGAGAAACTAAACTGATAGAGCAGAATCAAAGCAGACAACATGATGCAGCCTGTACTGTCTGTCAGCTGCTAACAATGAACTATGCTGTATAAAGCTAGCTGATGACTGAGGAACCTTGGCTCATGTCTGTCAGCCAAGCTGCAGTCAGCCAGGCCTCTGGACTCAATTCTCTTCATTTCCTTCTTTGGACATTAAAGAGTCCAAATCAACCAATCCGACTCTTTCTGTTTCAGTACTGAAGGTTCTGCCACAGCAGACATTACATGGCTCTGTTCTTCTTCGCTCCAACTGTCCAACATTTGGACCCGTCCATTTGAATGGAGAGTCTCAAAAGTCCTGTCCTTTAGTTGTCATGTTTCAGCCCAGAATGGGAAAGTCCTGATGTTCACACCATCAAACCATCTATTATTAGACATGACACACACTCCACCACCTGCTGATGTTCCCTAGAAGAACCAGTTGGATGAATCCTCACCTGAATATTTCCAGTGTCCAGTCTGAACCAGACAGAAACTTCTGCCCTGAATCTTGGAAGTTGTTGTTCTCCAGGTCAAATTCTCTCAGACAGCAGGACTTGGACCTCAGGACTGATGACAAAACTTCACAAGTTCTCCCTGAGAGATTACAGGATCTAAGTCTGAGAGACAAAATGAAACAAGTCAAAGAAAAACAAATGGATGTTATTTGGTATAAAGACACAATCCACGAACAGTCAGGATGAATATTGCATAGATTAATAGAAACCCTATATTGGGTCAGTATTTATGTTCCAGTGTTCTGACCCCTGCAAGACCCTTGTTGTTTGGGGGCATTTAGTTTTCATATCCAGCACTGATTACTGATATGGGGCCCCTGAAGACCTGGTAAGGCCCTTATTTTTTAAACCCTGACTGCCAACTAACAAGTCTCTTCCCTTCTCCACAGGTACACTGTCGCCTTTAGCTTTGGAGATGATTGTTCTGCACATCCCAACACTTTCACATCCATCCTCCACTCATGCTAAATATATACCACTGATTTGACTAACTTTCCCACTTCATGCTTTAAATTTGGTTTTTCACCTGTTAGGTTTTATTATTTATACATCATGTGCACTGTTAATTTGTTAGTCAGATTAGACAGAGCAGAAGGCCTTCCTTCACATTGTGGATATCACGGTGTGTACGGAGGTCATCTAATCAAGAGAGCCTTCGTGTCTCTAAGAATACACAGAATATGGGCACATCTTGGAGCCGGTCTGATAGGAGAGCTGCTGTATCTGTAACCCTGAGACAGAGAGGCAACCTGCATGGAGTTCAAGACATGGATGGCGTGTCAGTTTCTGATACGGACAGCTAAGCATCCACATGATGCAAGACAGACTCAGAAGGTATAAGAAGCAGGAGATGACGTTGTTCGGGGCTCAAACTTTGCCGGACGCTTGCGGACGTGATTTTTGAGACCACAGCTGTGCATAGCTCTAAGCATTTTTCTCTGTCCTGTAACGACCTGATCTGTAATAAACTCTGTTACTTTTTTACTCCTGTTTTTATAGTCCTTTTTATATGGTTTTGACGAGTTTGAGTTAAGAGTAGTAACTAACTTGCTCCCAGGAAAAGAACCGTGTGAGGAGGCCCCGGGGCGTTACAGCCTTTACTTCCAAGGGGACAAATCCTCCTCACTTTAACAACCTTAGACTGTGTTTAATTTATTTCTATTTCAAAACTCTTAGACATGGTCGGTTTCCCTTTGGTCATTGCCTCTAAATCAGGTCAGAACGGCATGATATATAGAAGACAAAACTGGAAAAGTTCTACTAGGTCCGAAGTTTAGATTAATAATACTGAAAAAAGTTTTGAAAAAAGCTCAGATGATTGTGATTATGATGTCAATTTTTGAGCATCGAATCCGATAATTCAATGTAATTGTCTTAAATTGGGTTTCATCTGTGGATGTTCGAAAAATAGAAAAAAAATTAACAAAAGAAATGTCATGATCACATATATAATACAGCTATAATACAATTAATTTCTGTTGCTTGATAATAATGTTGATGCCTAGTTCATTTTATTACAGAAACAGAAAAAGAGAAAAAGCAGTTCATACCTGAGAGTTTCCAGTTTGCAGTTCGGACTCTTCAGTCCAGAAGACAGAAGCTCCACTCCAGAATCCTGCAGCTTGTTGTTACTCAGGTCCATCTCTTTCAGATTAGAATACTGCGAGCTGAGAACTGAGGCCAGAACTTCACAGCTTCTGGCTGAGAGGTTACAGTCATTCAGTCTGAAGCGACAGATATAGAGATGGATTAAACTTAATGAACTGCCTATTAGAGCCTATAGAGGACATGTCCTTTGGTAAAATTGTATAGGTGTGTAAGGTAAAGAAAAATATGTAACCACGAACAGGCATAAATTGCAAGGCAATTGGCCTTGTAAGGCAGTTGGCCAAATGTGGAAACTGAAATGGGATGCATTTATTCTAAGTGCCGTTACTGTGTAGTTGATTTTGTACACCATTTTGCTTGTTTTTTTCATATTTATTTCTAGACATTGGCATCGAGGGATCCAGTACAGAGGGGACCTCTGAAAGCAAAAATCCATGCACCCTAGACTCAACACAAACCAGATGGTTAGTGTGATCAAGAAAAAAAATGACATTTTCTCAAACCCATGCTACAGCGGTAAAAAACTACCAGGCTAGAACAACAACACACCAATATGAGAGAAAATATATATAAATAGCATGCAAAGAATAAGTGACAATAATAATACAACTTTTCCATACACTTTGTGTTATAATTTACTGTAAATGTAGAACGAAGATTTATGAAGTTGTTAGGTCAGCTTAAAAAAAAAAAAAAAAAACAGAATCAGTTATGCAAAGTAATCAAACATCTTGTGAAAAAGAGGAAAATGCATGCATTGGACCATTTTTGTAAGAGACAAGGCCAATGAAGAAGTCAAAATGTACTTTTGGACATTTCACTGTTAAGCATTGTAGGGACAATAATGCATTTTCTCTGTTTGTCCTTACATTCAGGTTCTGCAGGCTTTAAGCTACATTTTGAAATGACCACCAAGGATCTTGATTAAAAGGTTATTGTTACCTGTTTTGTATATGTGTAGGTGTGAAACTTGTTTACATTGAAATGTTTCACTTGCTACCTAGGTTATCTACCTCTAATGTTAGAATACTTTAATAATCCTGAACTATTGTACTTTTTAATTAGTTTTCTGAACTACTAACCTCTGGAGTTACCATCCAACAATTAAGCCTGGTACATATCTAAAAATAAAAACATTTACATGTGACTTTTTTCCATTCAGTTTTGTTTATTGTTTTGTGTTTTTGTTTTGGTGGCATAGCAATGGTTGATGTGTACATATATTGTTTACATATATTGGGCTCTTTTTTGTCAGGTTGGGTGGAGGTTTTAAGAGGACCTAAATGCAGAGACTGAAGTTGAAGTTGTTTTTTTCATATTTTATAACAAAAAGGGTTACAGAACCATAATTCAAACTAACAAATGCCAAAAAGTGTTAGGATTCCAGATTCTGTGGGTTGTTTTTGTGTTTTTCTTCTCTCCACCACCAGATGGTGCCCTGCTCTCGTTGGGCCTCCCTTTTCTCTGCCACCCCACAGACCATATGATTGTGCCATAGATCTGCTTCCCGGAGCACCTCTACCCAGCAGCCGCCTTTTTAATATCTCCAAGCCAGAGGGAAACTATGGAAAGATACATTACCGTTCAAAAGTTTGGGGTCACGCAAGCAAATTAGTGTTTTCCTGAAAAGTCACACTTATTCACCACCATACGTTGTGAAATGAATAGAAAATAGAGTCAAGACACTGACAAGGTTAGAAATAATGATTTGTATTTTAAACAAGATTTTTTTTTTACATCAAACTTTGCTTTTGTAAAAGAATCCTCCATTTGCAGCAATTACGGCATTGCAGACCTTTGGCCTTCTAGCTGTTAATTTGTTGAGGTAATCTGAATAAATTGCACCCCACGCTTCCAGAAGCAGCTCCCACAAGTTGGATTGGTTGGCACTTCTTGCATACCATACGGTCAAGCTGCTCCCACAACTGTCAGGATCCGGGGCTTTGCCCACCAGAGGGCGGTGTGGATCCATGCCTGGGGAGTTTGGGCTCAGCATGGATCAGCTGTTTTCTATCTGCTGATTAAGGAAGCTCCCTATATAAGCTGAGTGTGAACTTCCCTCTGTGCTGGATCGTTGTCTTACCTGTGCCACCATGCCTGTCTGAATCTGCAACCTGTAAGTCTGTCAACCAGTTCCAATAAAATACTGGACTTTTAATCCTCCCTCTGTGTCTGTGAGTCTGCATTTGGGCTAGTAAAACCATCGCATCATGACAACAACAACGCAATGGGGTTCAGATCTGGTGACTGTGCTGGCCACTCCATTACAGATAGAATACCAGCTGCCTGCTTCTGCTCTAAATAGTTCTTTGACAATTTAGAGGTGTGTTTAGGGTCATTGTCCTGTTGTAGGATGAAATTGGCTCCAATTAAGCGCTGTCCACTGGGTATGGCATGGCGTTGCAAAATGGAGTGATAGCCTTCCTTATTCAGAATCCCTTTTACCCTGTACAAATCTCCCACCTTAACAGCACCAACGCAACCCCAGACCATTACATTACCTCCGCCATGCATAACAGATGGTGTCAGGCATTCTTCCAGCATCTTTTCATTTGTTCTGCGTCTCACAAACGTTCTTCTTTGTGATCAAAACACTTTAAACTTGGATTCATCTGTCCACAACACTTTTTTCCAGTCTTCCTCTGTCCAACGTCTGTGTTTTTTTGCCCATCTTAGTCTTTTTTTTTATTGGCCAGTCTCAGATATGGCTTTTTCTTTGCCACTCTGCCCTGAAGCCTAGAATCCCACAGCCGCTTCTTCCCTCTAGATGTTGACACTGGTGTTTTGTGGGTACAATTTAATGAAGATGCCAGTTGGGGACCTGTGAGGCATCTGTTTCTCAAGCTAGAGACTCCAATGTACTTATTTTCTTGCTCAGTTGTGCACGCAGCCTCCCACTTCTTTTTCTACTCTGGTTAGAGCCTGTTTGTGCTGTCTTCTGAAGGAAGTAGAACAAACCGTTGTAGGAAATCTTCAATTTCTTAGCAATTTCTCACATGGAATAGCCTTCATTTCTAAGAACAAGAATAGACTGTCGAGTTTCAGATGAAAGTTCTCTTTTTCTGGCCATTTTGAGCATTTAATTGACCCCACAAATGTGATGCTCCAAAAACTCAATCTGCTGAAAGGAAGGTCAGTTTTGTTGCTTCTGTAACAAACTAAACTGTTTTCAGATGTGTGAACATGATTGCACAAGGGTTTTCTAATCATCAATTAGCCTTCTGAGCCAATGAGCAAACACATTGTACCATTAGAACACTGGAGTGATAGTTGTTGGAAATGGGCCTCTATACACATATGTAGATATTGCATCAAAAACCAGCCGTTTGCAGCTAGAATAGTCATTTACCACATCAGCAATGTAAAGACTCTATACATTTCTTAACTTTAAAGAAATACTCTCTATACTATAGAGAGTTAAGTTAAGTTAAGACTAGTTTAAAGTTATCTTCATTGAAAAGTACAGTGCTTTTCCTTAAAAAATAAGAACGTTTCAATGTTACCCCCAAACTTTTGAACGGTAGTGTACATTCAGGACTCCCTGGCTGCTGGCATCATTCGACCCTCTTCTTCACCCCTTGGGGCAGGCTCCTTTTTTGTGGGTAAGAAGGATGGTTCCCTGAGGCCCTGCATCAACTATAGAGGTCTCAACCAAATAACTGTTAAGAATAAATACCCTTTGCCTCTCTTGTCCTCTGTGTTTGAGCCTGTCCAGGGAGCTACGGTGTTTACTAAACTGTATTTAAGAAATGCCTATCATCTTCTCCATTTGCTACTGCCCAGGGTCTAGATACATTAAGCCTGACACCCTATAAAGAAAGTTCGCCCCAGACGACTCAGAGAACACTCCTGCTCCTATTCTCCCTCCTAGCCGCTCAGTTACCACTGTTACTTGGGAGATTGAGGACCTTGTAAAACAAGCTCAGCAGTCTGAGCCTGATCCCGGGACTGGTCCTCCCAAGAGGATTTTTGTACCCTCTGCCTTTCCTGCTCGAGTTATTAATTGGCTACACTCTTCTAAGTTTTCAGCTCATCCAGGCGTCAGTAGGACTGTGGCTCTTATCAATCTGCGTTTTTGGTGGCCTTCCGTTCATAAGGATGTGAAAGCGTTTGTCTTAGCCTGCCCGACCTGTGCTCGGAACAAGTCCTCTAATCTGCCTCCAGCTGGGCTACTACATCCATTGCCCATCCCCAAACGACCCTGGTCACATATTGCCATCGACTTCATCACTGGGCTAACCACCTCCAAAGGGATGACCACCATCTTAACTATAATCTACCCTTTTTCTAAGGCCTGCCACCTTTTCTCTTTAATAAAACTATCCACAGCCCAACTGCTGGTCAAACGTCTTCCGTTTACATGGGATTCCCCAAGACATCCTCTTGGACCGTAGACCTCAGTTCATCTCCCAGGTTTGGAGAAGTTTTTGCTCGGCCCTCTAGGCCAAAGTCTCACTCACTTCTGGCTATCACCCACCGTCTAATAAACAGGTTGAACGTTGAAGTTGGAAGCCACTCTCAGATGCCTTACTACAGCTAGCCCCACCGATTGGAGCCTATATGTTACCTGGGTTGAGTATTCCCATAATTTCCACACCTCTTCTGCCACTGGTCTGTCCCCTTTTGAGGTCTCATTGGGGTATCAGCCTCCCCTGTTTCCGGCAGAGGAGAAAGACTTTGCCGTTTCGTCTGTCCAGTATCATATTTGCCACTGCAAGGCAGTCTGGGACAGGACTGCAGCGGCTCTCAGTCGAACTGCTGAACAGAACCGTCATTGGGCTGACCGCAGGAGGAGGGTCCGTCCAACGTTCACCCCTGGCCAAAAGGTTTGGCTGTCTATAAGACACATTCCACTTAAGGCCATGTCCAAGAAGCTATCTCCCTGCTTCATTGGCCCGTACGAGGTGGAAAGGATTGTTGGCTCATCTGCTGTTCGTCTACGTCTGCCCACCACCTTCATCATCCATCCTACGTACCATGTCTCTCAGATCAAGCCGGTTCATTCCAGTTCCTTGTGCCCACCCGCTGAGCCCCCTCCCCCCTTGGATGGTGACCTGCCTACACTGTGCACAGGATTGTGGATGCCCGCCGCCACGGGCGGGGCTAGCAGTACCTC